ACAAGAAAATTCAGACTCACAATAATGCTATTTTTTTTAATAACAAGTGTTTTGAAATGGATATAAACCCTCATGCTTCAGGGCATAAATTAACCCCTACCCAATGGGGGCTAGGAAGTATATTTCATTATGAGCAGATTACCCCACTTGTACCTACTGTGAGGTTCTTACTCCTTCCTCTGGAGCAGCTGCTGCTGGCCACCAGAGCGGAGTGAATCACGGATTTTCAGCCAAACCAGAAAAATCTGTTTTCTTGTGAACAGAAATTATATATTCATTGGGGTCGAACATCACATTTGCAATATATGTTCAAATCAACATTTTGTTTTAACACTGTCATTTCAAGCCAGCATTTCGTTTTGAAAATGTCATTCGAAACAAAAGTCTAAACCAACCGTTTCAACCCTTTTTGAAATGTTTGTTTTCAGGTTTTTCTTCTTTTTTGTGTGTGGCTGAAATGATTCACCAGATTCGACCCAAATTCCTGAATAGTTTCAGTCCTCCCCAAACTGCATTTTTCATGCGTTCTGTTACAGCGAGTGTTTTCCTTAAAGCCACTGCTTCTGGAGGCAGGGAATTTTGTGAAGAATCTCACCTTTCATCTACAAAAGAATAAAGGATGTTTCTAGTCCTCCTGGCTGCTGAGAAGAGCTTGAAAAGATGACCCCTAAGGGCTCAAAAAACTGAAATAATGAAAAAGAACCTCTTTTTTCTGCAATCATATGATTATTTAAATCACTTGTGATTTCTGAATCCTTGAGGTTGGTAATGCTGTATTATCAGAGAGATTTAGGGAGCCAACCCTCAGCCTCCAAACACTTAAAAGAAAGCCAATCTGGCAATAGAAAAAGCCTGGATTATTTTACACTCTACTGAAAAGATCCAGTTTGCAATGTGGATTTTGCTACGTGATTAGGGATCAGAGGGCACCAGCTAACACAAGGGAACCATGAATCTGACAGCTGTGTAGTTATAAATACACACACACCGACACATCTGCAGCTGCAGAGAACGTAACAAGTTTTTAAGAGGGATATTTGTCTGGATATCAGGCATATCCAGCGTTATTAAAATTCATGACAACAAAAATTTTGGAAGGGATATTATCCTCGTGCTTCTGGGCTTGAGTCAATTTCTAACGATGGGGTTTTTACACCTTCCTCTGCAGCTGCTGACACCGGCCCCTGTCAGAGACGGGACACTGGGTTTGATCTGGTTTGGCAATTCCTATGAGCAAGGAGTAAATGTACAAAACACACGGGCTGGACTTGGTGCTGATTTCCTCCCCACACAACTCTACCCGCTTCAGTCATAAAACAGGGCAGAATTTGCCTCAATGCATGTTAAAAAAAAAATCTGTTTCCCTTTGTTCTTTCTCTCTGTGAAATCGGCAATGGGATCAGAGATGAGCACTAAAAGGCATGCAGGAGAGGAGGAGGGAGAAAAGCTCATCAAACGTTATATCAACAGGATATTTCAAAGGCTAAGTGAAATGAGGGATATCTGATAAGATCATCCTTGGGATTACGGCAGAGCAATCCGGCAAGGACACATGATCAGAGCTGGTGGAGAGCAGCAGATCCTGGGACGTCGTAGCTATCTATCTCCTTGTTGGACCGAAATGAAATTCTCATCTCCTCACTGCCTTTCTCCCTTTAACTTTTCAACCTGGGTCAATGGAAATTGCTTAATACTCAGATCCTCTTCTCAAGCTCTACACCTAACAGGAGACCCACCACCCATGGGTCTCCGTCTCCTTTCACAGCGGCCTAACTCTACCGACTTCAGCGTTACTTGAAGTTACTCCTGTGTATGTTATTCCTGATTTACACCATCAAGAGAGAATCAGGCCCTCAGGCTACAAAAATCCAGCTGTAAATATGCTTCTGTTATTTTGGCATTCCATTAACCAGGAACATTTCCCCAAGAGTCTACCTTTTATTGTGCCATACTACCATGACGTAGCCCAGTGCAGCAGGTCACTAGAGGAGCTGTTATTAGACAAGGATTACTTAGGCACTCAGGCTGTGGTTTTCAAAGGGGCTTTAAGGAGCAGGGCACACAATTCTCACTGAAATCCAATGGAAATCGGGTGCCTAACTCCCAGAGGTGGTGTCAAAATCCCCTGGCCCCAGGCTTATCGAGGACAGCAACGCAGGCCACCTGAGTCACCATGCTGATTCCAGATCCTGATCCGATGGCCAGCTGTGATAAACAGGAACTCAGAGATTTCAGGATGGCCGCACAAACCTTCCCCTAATGTGCAATCAAATGAAAACTCGCCGGATTATTTTCCCGAGAATAGTCTTACAAAAGCAATCGCCCCAGATGAAAAGGCATCAGCAATTCCATCAATGTGACTGGGGGCCAAATTTCCAAAGGCGTTTAGGGGCCTACAGATGCAGGTAGGTGTCTATAATACTATAATGATAGCAGTTTTCAGGTATCTAAAAGGGTGTCATAAGGAGGAGGGAGAAAACTTGTTCACCTTAGCCTCTAAGGATAGAACCAGAAGCAATGGGTTTAAAGTGCAGCAAGGGAGCTCTAGGTTGGACATTAGGAAAAAGTTCCTAACTGTCAGGG